TGGGGAAAGGAGAAGGAATGCTTAAATCTGTTTTTAAAATTATTGGCAAATGATGCTGCTGAACTAGTTTTTGCTAGTACAATTCCAGCTATTGTTTGCTGTGGTTCAGGCCCCAACAATCTTCCCATTAGAGCCAAGCTGGCACCAGGCACTCGCTTATTAACCAGAGCTGATTAACCCCTTACCTGCAGCTCCTCTGATGTCATTTGTGATTTGCGGGCATGATCCTTCCTGGGGCTTGCATAATCCAGAGCAACTCTGACCAGGAAGAGTCTGAATTGCCAGTATGGGCCAGGACACCCTGTCAGCTGCCCATAGGTGGGCTGCAGGAGCTGTGCCTCTGAAGAGGAGATGCCAGCATTCAGTGCCAGAGGGAGCATGGATGCTGCAGATTGGGCTGGGCTTCAGGGCTGCAGTCCAGGGCTCTGAGGAGGAGCAGGCAGGGACTCAGCTCACCAGCCAGAATGAAGCACCTGGGCCAGCACGGGCATGGCAGCATCTTTCCTTCTTATTTAATATATGGTTAGGGGGTGACCAGATGGCCTTTGCAGTTCCTGGTGCTTGTTTCATTATTGTCGCTTTAAAATGTATGGCATGCTTTTCCACTGGAAAAATAGTACTTATTTCCAAGTAAATGTGTTTAGCATCAGGACTGCAGAAGCAAACATTTTATTCATTTAGTTATCATAGTCCTATGAATTACGTGATTTAACTGGGTTTAGAGTATGCAACTATATGCACAGAATTTTTAGAAACTTTTCTTCACCAGTTGTAGCAAACAGGGCCATTTTTTCTTTAACATTTAGTTTCTTTAGGGCGTGATCAAATTAGGATGCTTATAAGCCTCCAGATATGGAAGATTATGACTATCCTATGCAGGGTAGAAAGAGCACAGAGAGGATCTGCCCCTCCCCATGCCTCTCCTCTTGCAAATCAGCTAGGTGGCCAATTTGAGCCCTCTTGCTGCAGGACTTTGGACAGCATGGAAGGAGGCTGTAGCAGATACAGTGTACGCTGGCAAACCCAGTCCCCTCCCCCTCCCCTCCACAAGTTCAATCTTGTGACCCCAGAGAAGCCGCTGGCCTGGTTCTTTCCATGCCAGTTTGCACTGGGGAAGCGAGAGAAGTTGATTGGTGTGCAGTTCTCCCATTCCGGGGTTGGAGCTCTTTCCTTACCTTGGATCTAGGAATCTGAAGAATCCTATGACCCTCTGTCCATTGACAAGGGGCCATGGGAGCATTGTGTTTACCAGTGTTAGCAAACAGGGTACATTTGTTTAATGTATCAGCTATACAGAAACAGTTGGAAAGCATGGCATAGCTGTTGAGGGAGGGGAGAAGAGGGGTGCTTGTTGTGTGCTTCACAACTGAATATACATCCCCCCACAAGACTATCACATCCAGGCTATGAAATGGTCCAGCTGCACCACTGCAGACTGTGTTTTGTCTCTCACTGATGACCATATATGCATGGTTTGTGCAACTGTTGGCATGAACTGGAATTGCTGGAATACAGTGGTCATATTTTAAAATCACACATACACACACACACACACACGTCTATCCTGGAGAAGCAGGGAATGATTAGAACATACCCAAAAATGCAGAGTGAAAAGACCTTGTTGTAGTTGGGGTGGGGTGGGGAATGCCTGGATCTAAAGAGGCATCAGACTCTGAAGCAGGAGAGGTTCTCCAGGAGAGAGTCTTCCAGAGTTTGCCTGTTTCAGTGGTGTGTGTCCCCATGGAGTTGCACTGGTGATGGATCCTAAGCTGGACCAATAAGGAAGGTCTAAGTAATTGTGTGGGTTCAGCCCAGCTCTTTAGATTTTTCAAAGTTGAAAGGGGTGACTTGAGGCTTTAAAGGAACTAGAAATCAGGGCAATTGGAGAGATACATTTCATACTTTACTAATAGGGGAGCTAATATTTTATACTAACTGTATCTTAGAAATTGTCTTCAAGAGCAGTCTGTGGGCAATTTTCAACCTAGTTTGTAATATGGCATGAGACCAACATCATTGCTGAGTGAATGTTGGCATACTCAATGGATGTTCCCAAATAAGTTGCTTAGTCTTGTGAAGTAGAAGAATGGCTAGAGCAGTTTCTGCTGGTTTTGAATTAACAATAATTGCTTGATTTTTAAAATCAGATCATATTACTAGTGCCATATGTATTTACTGTAACATCACTTATTTTATTCTTTTAAACTGTATTTTTATGGGGGATTCTGGGAAGCAGTGAGGCATTCCTATTAGGGTAGTTACAGGCAGGGGAAGGTATGATGTTGGGGGATTAACAGGTGAGCAAGAGAAAAGAGAGGTCAGATGTCTTAACACTGTCCCCTCTTCTGGTTCTTCCCCCAGCCAGATGATGCCAGGCAGCTGTATCAACCTGTCCTCAGGCTTGTGCTGCTGTTGAATGTCAGATCAGCACAGAATAAAACATCCTTTATCCATGCCCTAACAGTGGATAAGGGAGCTGACCTGGCATGCATTACGGAGACCTGGGTGGGAAGTTGGGGAGGCATTATGCTTACCCAGCATATACATATGGATATTCCAGCAAGCACCAGACTGTCCTTGATTCTCAAGAAGGGGGTTGGCTGTATTCAAGCTGCTAAACTCCTGCTTCTACATTGACTAAGACATTTCCTCTTAAAGCCTGGTCTGTTTTAGCAGCCTCAGGCTGTGATTATGTGGGGTGGCTGTAGTAGGGTGCCGTCTTCATGGCAGGAGTCACTGAAGGCCAAGGATGGTGGTGGAACCTCCTCTGGACCAAGGAGGGAGGTCTGTGTGGTTTTCCTGAAGAACTAACTCTTGAGAAAGTGGACCTCTTACTATGCTCTTCTTGAGTTCTCCCTATGGACAATTAATTCTGGCGCCATTTCTGAGGACAAGAGCTGGGATCCTCTGAGGACATGGGCTTGACAACTTGATCCATGACATAAACAGGCCTTTGGCCTGTGTCACCTTCCCTTCTTGGTTTGAACCACATTTTGCTGTGCTTTCTGGGACACAAACCATGGCCCACTCATGCATTCTATCAATATGTGGGTGGGGCTGCACCGACTAGCCCTGCCTCCAACAGCACGGATGCCAACTGGTGCTTCCGTGTGGGATCTGTGAACAGCAGCCTGACCATCTGTAGGTAGGGCATTGCACACATTTCCACACCACCTGGAATCCTAATATAGTTGAGGAAGTTTTTGCATGGACAGCTCTGTGCTCAAAAATTCCCTTCCGACAGATATCTGTGCAGATGCAAGAAGGGAATGAGATGGTCAGATGAAACTTCAGAGGCAAACAGATTTGTATACTGAAGATAATTAAGAGAATCAGCAATGAATACAGAAATTTTCTTCTGTAGAAACATACCCTAGATATTTTGGAAATGTTCTCACAGGGTTTATGGAATAACAATATAATGTGAGCCCATAGGATTATTTCTTTATATTTAGCTTTCTCATATATTTGCATACTTCATTAAATAAACATGTCTGCAAGGTTTAATTCACTATCTTATGAGTTGCTGAATAAACTGAAGTTATCTCATTCTAGATGACTTCCTAATGAGGACAATCCTCTTGTGAGAGTGGGGCATGTCCTTACTGAAAACTGGATAACTGTAACTGACTCATGCTCAGTAGTTGTGCACTAGGACAAACTGCTTAGTGAACAATGACGCCTCCACATTTTCCTGGAATAAGTACAGGAAAGTACCTGCTGTGTCTGAACATCTGTGCCGCATGGCAAGTTCTGTGGGTCCTGTTCCACATGAACCTGAGTTTTCTGGTCCACGTATAAACCCTGAGAACATGTTTATTCATTTACTATCCCATCTTTCCTTCCAGAAATGACTCTTAAGACAAAATACATGTTAAAAATATTAATTAAAACATTAAATAAATAACACGACAACAAAACACCACTAACCAATTAAAAATCCCTTCAGCAACAGACCATCTTATATGCCAAAGGGAATTATTGGCCTGCCAGTGGGAGTACAACAGAGAAGTGAAGGGAGATGGGACAAGTTTAAGGAGGACAAGATTATCTATGGCATCTAGTCCTAATGGCTGTATTCTACCTCCAGTAAGAGGCATTATGCCTGTGCACAGCAGTTGCTGGGGAACAGGGGTGGGAGAGTGCCGTTGCATTTGTGTCTTTCTTATGGTTTCCTGCGGGTAGCTGATTGGACACTGTGTGACTTGATCACTGGACCCTTGATCTGATCCAGATTGGCTGTTCCTATATCTGCATTTCCTAAAGATGCAGACTTCCCTATCTGACCTTAATTGACACTTTGCATGAATCCTGTCTCATGCATCTGCTAAGTTGCTTTTAGTGGGATATTGGATGGCACTGATGCACATGGTTGAAGAGAACTATGCTAAATATGTCTTCTTAAATCCAGGGTCCTTCATTTGCAATCATTAGATTTCAACGTGAAGATGCAAATTAAGGGGACTATATGTGGCAAAAGCTAGAAACCAAAAGCCACCTCATCTTATGCATGATTAACAGATGTAATGGCATCAGTATAGTTGTTGTTGTTGTTAATTGTGCTAATTTTACTTTATAGGCAACAGTAAAGCTGCACCTCCGTGTTCTCTTCATCTCTACGCTACGAAGTAAGCCTGCCTTTCTGAATATGTGACGTATTCTGCATTATTTCTAGAGTTGTCACTCAGTTAAATTACCTTTGGGTGGGAATCCAAAGCAAAGTTACCTGGGAGAAAGTCCTACTGATCTTACAGGGGCATACTTCTGAGCAGCAATGTTTAGGTTTATCCTGTTAATCTGTTAACTCTATGTGTGTTCAATCTACATAAATTTGCAACTGGAAGTAAAAAGTCAACTTTTTATTTTTCAGTTGTGCCCATATATCAAAAGAGGCACAGTCTAAGAAGCAGCTCTCCACTTTTTCTTACCGGAAGGAATGCCTTAAATAAAATCTCATGTTATCCATAATTTTTGTAAATCCTTGATAATTGAATTAATTCACTTGTTAAAAAAAATATTCTGCCCAATTAATCAAGGCCACCAATTTGAGGAGTTGAAAGATTTCAGACCAATTAATTAACCAAATTGCTGCCCTGTTTTTATGAGAACACTTGAACTTCTAGGTGGCTGCTGAAGAATGCTAACTGGAAATCAACTCAAAGTAAATCCCCTTGCTAAAGATCCAGCCATCTCGTCAAACCATGGTCAGGAAAATTTTCCTGTGGTCTTGGATGATGTCTGAATTGACTGAGCATGATTTGTGATCAACCAGGAAGTGGAATTAGAAGCACTTATTTTGAAAGTTCCTTTGGAACCATATTTTTTGCTAACTGTGACTTGGCCTTTCTTTGTTTACAATCATTACTCTGTCTCCAGACACAGAATTGAATTTAAAAGCTGAGTGTTAAAAGGGCAGAGTACAAAAACAGGCAACATTTCCAGATCAAGGTATAGATTCAAAACCTTCGTTTGGCAGAATGTCTGAACTGAGCCCTTGTTTTAGTATTAGAGTGTCCATGGAATTTTGATACAATCATCAGTGTTTAAACCTGGATTATTTTAGTGTGTACATTTAAAAATAACTAATTCTGCATATACATTTTAAAAAATGCATAAAACATTCCAAAAACTACAATGAACATAATATAAATATGGATCATAAATATAAAATAATTTATAACCATACATTTAGTTGGACTAAAAAGGTTACAGCCATCACAAATATAATGAAAATCTGTTTTTTAATTCAGCTCCTAAAGTATGATATCAAGCTTTCCACTGAGAAGATCCAAAAGTAAATTGCTGGCTTCATTATGGAGGGGATCTAAAGGAGGTGCAAAACAAGCCTACCTTTTTTTGTCTTTATAATGTTGTTTTTTACTCTTAAAAGCTTCACAGTGGTGGTTCACCTGGGCCATTCCTCTGTTCCACCCTCCATCAGTACTCCTGGAACAACTGTGTGTACTTGCGCAGCATTGTTCTAAGGGCATTATGTGAAGGTCGGTTTTGGCTCAGTGTTAGCATTCAGGCGGTGAATTCAAGGGAAAAGAGAGCAAAAGGATTCCTCCAAAATTTAAAGAAAATTGACTCACTGCTTTTGTTTATTCCATAAACAATAATGCGGTTGTCATTTCTGGTACACAGAGATGGGTGGAACGCTTTTGAATATTTGTTCATGTTAATGTACTCAACATACTTCAGGCATTGATTGTAACTTTTTTTGAAACAGGACTGACTTCAGCGATTTAGGCAACCGCTAGTATTTTACTTGATGCTTAACAAGCAATTCCTAATCTGTCTTGCATAAAATTTCAATAATAGGGTTTTTCATATTCATGCTATAGCTCCATTGCTAAGTATAAAACCAAAAAGAAATTTGTCTTTTACAAAAGGTGTGCCGGTTAAGAAATGTTTTTCACATCCTTTGTGTATGTTCACTTGACCAAAAGAAGCCTTTGTGTCACTCAATACAGAGGCAATCCAGGTCTGATTTTTCCTGTGTCCACTCATATTTTAGCAGCCATCTGTTGTTATTCTGGCAATGTTGGGTAGGGGACTTAGGATGCACACAAATGTACCCTAAAGCAGGACTTGCTCGTATTTTCTCTTACAAAAAGAGAAAAGTCCTTTGCCGTTCCTTTGACAGATTACCAAGCAGTTAAGTAACTCAAGTACTGATTTAGTAACCTGGTATTCATCTTCCCTGTGCTTCAGATGGGTATCTGCCTGTAACTTAAGTCAATTGAAAAGAATTCAATTTGAAGGTCATTCATATTTATTATTATAATGGCATTATTTTAAAAAGGGAAAAACCATCTTTTTCTTAAATTGAAATCTGCTCTAGAGAGGAAGGATTTGTGATGTCCCTTTTGCCACTGTAAGGCACAGTCGGGAAAGGGGGCTGCAGACTAGGACTTGCGCTGCTTCATCTGCTGCACCTTGAGCACTTCGACTCCATGAGAGGCTGAGCTGGCCAGTACCCAGGGAAAGGGTAGCTTTGAAGCTGCCGTTCCAGCCTCAGAGCAGTCCAGTTTGGGAGGCTGATTCCCAAAGTCAGCTGATTCTCCAAGGCATCAAGACACAGCAGGCCCAAGAAAGCCCTTGTCGTCAAGCCAGCTCCATGGTGCAGTCCAGCTTGTTTGGACTGCAAATAGCCTGCCTGCCTATTCCTTCCCTTCTTTTTTCTGATGCCTACTCAGTGTGTGCGTCCTGCCTGCCCTTGGCCTTGCGTCTCCTTCCAGCCTCTTTGGCCCATCCACCCACCAGGCCCTGAAATCACTTCTGCTTCCTGTCTTCCCAATTCTAGCCTGGCCTGTCTGTGACCTTGGTTTTTGCTCTTCCAAAACCCCCTTGGATCTAGGTCAAAACCTGACAGCCATCCAGACAGTGCCATGCACAGCCATCACATAGATGGTTTCTGTGAGCATAATGCAGTGAGTATGTCCCCATATACCATCACTCACTTTTACCCCTTAAATTGGGTACATCTGCCTGCACCCATAAAAGAAACTTTCTTTGCATTTTTATGATTTGTGGTTCCGTTTGTGTGCATTGCCCAGTGGGGACTATCTACAAGTTGCTTAGTGTTGGCTTCTAGTTTAGATCCATCTAGCCATAATGTGAGCTAGGCTAAACCTTAACAGATACTGCCTCAGTTCTCTTAATTGCTCAACAAAGTAGTAATTGTGCTAATGGTTTCAAAGTGTGCCACAGCAAAAGAGTGGACTTAATTATTCAAGTCAACAAGAAGTTAATGTTGAGAGTCACCCATTGTTTGTCTGAGATTTCTCTTTCTTTCTCTCTTTTTTAATAGACATTACCCCCATATAGTAACTGTCCCAACTTTTCCAACGATGGCCACATATGGACAGACACAGTACAGTGCAGGAATCCAGCAAACTGCTGCTTATACTGCATATCCACCACCTGGGCAACCTTATGGAATACCTTCCTACAGTGAGTTGTGCGCTAGTTACTAATTGTTTTAAAGGAAACTTGACTTTACGTAGCGGGTGCCTTGCTTCATTTTATGCAAAGATGATTTAGAAATGCCTATGTAGGACTAGGAGCATCCACAGATGTTGGGAAAACCTTAGGTTTCCCATCCTAATGCCTGGGGTGCCACTGTTAATAAGCCTTTCCAGGCAGTCAGTGGATATAGGAATGGGCCCGTGTGCTTTGGCCACAACTGGCAAGCACGCACTGGGCTGTGCAAGTGAAAAGGGCTGTTGGGCAAGTGCAGCAGCCTGCAGGAATGACGTCGGGCATGCAGGCAGGAGCTCCCCCTCCTGGCCACACATTCGGTGACTGCAGGGAGGGGTCCCCCTGAAAAGGAGTACAGAGTGGGAGAGAGCAGCCGCTAGAAGAGTTTTGCTCTCATGGATGGGCGGCGTGGCATTGGTCAGGAATATTAAACTGGAGGGGGAAACGGGTACCGCCTTCTGGCCCAGAGAACACACACACTGTGGCGAGAGCAGTGTCAGTAGGCGTTTTGGTCCAACTTCATTTATTTATTAATCTTATTTACTGTACTTCAAAACCCGCTGATAACCAAACTTCTCTGAGCAGGTTACAGTGCAGAAAAACATACGGTGCAGATATTACAACAAAAATAAGAGCGGCACAGAAATTCAACAGTGAAGGGCAAAATCATTATCAAGGAGGACCATCTTACATATTAAAAACATTAAGATTAGGCTAGTTGTTTCCCATTCCAACAAGTGATGGCATAGAATTGTGCGCTTTGGGTTGCTGAGTGGTACATGTTGAATACTCAGTAAGCCCAAATTTCTGAATAAAAAACACAGGCGGCTCTAGCGCAGTGGGTAGGCAGCATGTGTTGGTGGGAAAAAAGGAGTAATTTTATTTGAAAAAAGAAGAACCAAGGGTGCAGCAGTCAAGTAAGCAAAAACAAACTCTTCTGTGTTGGCTGCATTCACCCTGCTTAGTTCGCAGATGCACTTTTGCCACAGCAAAAGAATATTTTGCATCTTCATATTGCCGGGTGTTGTGTGCACATCAAGAGACCAATCAAATTTATTTCAGTTGCAGGATGTAACAGAACAAAATGTGCAAAAGTCAAAGGGGCAGGTGAATACTTTCACAAGGCACTTAGCAAAGTTGATAAAAAGCAGATGTTTGTTTTGAGATTTTGCATTACTGTTTTCAGAAACTTGAAATCTTTCTGCTCCCGGTGTGGCCACATTGATCTTGTACAAATAGATATTGTGACAGATGTATATGGAAAATGACAGTTGTCTTTTGTTTTGGTAATAACCCTTCTCATTCAGGGATTAACACTGTGATTGATTCTGAATTAAAATAAAACCATTGAAATGTCTCAAAAGTTGGAATTCCCTATGCAGTGCATTGCACAATTGTAGAATTAGCCCTTGCCATTTTAGTGCCTTTCAAGGACAGCAAATATTAGACAAAAGACAAATTTCAGCCACTTTATATAGTGTTTTGGCTGTTGTCATAGCTGGCTGAGATGCAAACTGCTTTTTCATGATTGACCAAAGCAGACAAGCTCTACATACTTCAGAACCAGACTAGTTGTTTACCCCTTGCATAACCTACACATGTTGCATTTGCACAATACAACAGCCCTGCAGGAGGGATCACATATGCTACCAAAGGGTGCTGCAGCTCGCCATGGATTAAAGAACCCATGACAAGTCGCTGTGTGTTATCAGAACCTAGTCAGTGTCTCAGGCTGATGTGCTACCTTCTGCTTTCCTTCTCTTCCTCCCCATCTTCCCCTACCTTTGCATGTAAGAGGAAGAGAGCAGAAAGCTTCAGCTTTCACTTTAGTTTAGAAATTGCATTGTATTAACCATTAAGCAACTGCATTTTAGGATGCTGAAGTGGAGGGCAAGTTTGAACCAGAGCAGCCAGCTTCCAGCAGTTTACATCCTATAGCAGAAGCATCTTGGGTATTCAGAAGGCCAGCAGTCTGGACCTTATGGAAAGAAAATTCCTCTAGGTAGCAGCCTGAAGAGATTCAGTTTGCAACTTTAAAATTATCAGCTTCCTCTGTATGGCAGCCAGGAAACACCAGGTCCCATACAGCTCTTGGCCAAGCCCACAGAAATTTATGAGAGTTCTCAGTTATGACTTTTTTTTAAAGATCACCTTCCATAACTAGACGTTTGGGTTAATTACTGCCTGATTGGATGACAAGCAAGTGTATTTAATGGAAGTTCTTAAATGGGTTTATGGACAGCTCCAAATTGGGGGGAGGGGAGATGCAGGGAGGGAGAAAGAAACCTGATTTTAACATGACTTTCTACTGAGGCAAGTAGAAAGGGGCTTAGATTTCATTCTCTGGAATCACATTTGTGCCTTGTATCAGCTGGATGGATGCCAAGACAAATGCTCAACAGTTGTCATTATTAAGAGCAGGTGAAAAGCAGCCCTCTGGCTACTGGCTAGCGTCTTCAGGCCATATAGAAACCAGGCCCACATGGCAGTAATAAATCCTATAGATTACCTATTGGCTGCTTTTGAACAATGGTTTCCCCTCTTCCCCCTCCCCCACCCAACAGTAATGCATATGACACTGTACATTTTGAAAACTCCCACCTGGCAGACAACCAAGAACAATGGAATACTATTGTTTTTTTGGCTCAGAAATAAAACTATCCCAAGTTCCTAGACAAAACGAAGAACTATGTGGAAATTAATTTAGTGCCAAGTTACTTCTCTGTCTGACAACAGGCTTCCCGAAACAGCCTGTCACTGAAGATTAATCATGGCCAGAGCTGTAACGGGTTGAGTGTTTGCATGCATGTTGCTAATCATAATCAGAATGCAAATGTCAAGTTATGAAAAGCAGTTTCTTTTCCCCACAAAAGTCCAAGTCAGGCAGCAACAATGGAGTCTGACATAATAGCTGTATGTAATCACTCCGCTGTTGCCCAAACAAATTGGCTTGTCTTTGGCAGGGATGTTGTTGTCCTGTGGATAATGCTCTTCTGGGAATTCTGCCCAAGTTCTTTCTTTCCTAATTTTTAACTGGCTGTGAAATGCTAGGAGTGTCAGTGCTCTTGTGTCAGGCAGTTTTCCCGTTAGCTCCAACCCCGACCTGATGGATCTGCCCCACTCCCTGGCTTCAAAGCACTCCAAGCAGTGTTCATGGAACGGGTGCAGTATGAGCCATTCTCTTCCAAATGCAGATAATTTCATAGAAAATATAGCATGGGTACCCCGCATGAATGTCCAGTTGTGCAGAATTCCCGGTTATATAGTAATGTTAGCAAATAGCATCAGTCAAAGCAGTGATCTCTCTGACCGGTAGAGTTAGCTCTTGTCCATGTTAGGAATTGATGCCAAACTGAATCACACTCCTTCCTTTTCTTTCATCCTCATGGAGGTTCATGCTGCTTGTGGGCCAAAGAGTAGAAACACTGGCATTACTTAGACGACTTGTTTGGCTTCACGATGAACCACCGGGTTGATGAGCTCACGCCACTCCTCCTCTGACCCTTCTTCTCCTATAGGGTCTCCCGCTGAACCAGAGGTGGCTTAGCTCTCACCGGCCGCTTGGCTAATCTTGTGTGTTAACCTTGGCATTGCAGTAGCACATTCCAACCCCTGCTCTTCTTCTAGCTCACCTTCAGTCTGAACTTTCTAGCTTGGAATGCTGTATTTAAGGACCCAAAAGTGTGCTGTCCAGAACTCTTAGCTGACAATGCCGCAGAGTGCGCTTTCTTATGCAACCAACTCACATCAACACCAAGTAGCAACTTTGTTGCCAAATGATCATCTTCCCCACATGGAGACTTCTATTATTTCTGTATTATTTAACTGGAATTAATAGACAGGAGTGTCCTCTATATTAAACCCTCCAAAAAAACAAAAAACAAAACTTTTTAAAGCCAAATGTGAATGTGTATGCTCTTTAAACAGATTTACTACTTCTGTAGGACAATGCATCAAATATAAAATGACACAGATTAGGAGAAACTTCCCTTTTTACATATTTGCAGAAAGTCCTAACCCAAAATGCATTGGAGGATCTACTAATGAATTTTAATTTATTTGTAAAATACTGACTGTTGCTCCTATGTCATACTGGATGAATTTAACGAATAGCTCAATTAAATTATTTGAAAATCTAATTAAAGATAAGATGTCCATATTTCATAAACCAGAAGGCATACATACCAAATATGGTGCAGTGGTTAGATTGCCAGAGTAGGACTGGATAGACCCAGGTTCAAGTTCTTGCTCAACCTTGAAGTTCAGTAGGTGACTTTTGGTCACTGTTTCCTAATCTAATTTAGAGGTTTGTTGTGGCCATAATATGGGTGTAGGAAAAAAAACAGGTATTCTGCTTTGAAATATTTCAAGGACAGTAAGGCTGAGGTATAGTAACAACACCCCCTTTCATTAAAAGAGTAGGAGTATTTTAAGCAAAAATGTAAATGTGACCAACAGAAATGATGTTATTCAGGCATGCCAAAGGGTATCAGGTTTCAAAATAATCAGATTTGTATCACAATATTGAAGTTCTCTAGGAACAAATACTCAGGCTTTGATAACGTTTAAACAGTAGCTTAGAACTTCAGTAGGCATAAATGTGACCAACAGAAATGATGTTATTCAGGCATGGCAAAGGGTATCAGGTTTCAAAATAATCAGATTTGTATCACAATATTGAAGTTCTCTAGGAACAAATACTCAGGCTTTGATAACGTTTAAACAGTAGCTTAGAACTTCAGTAGGCATTTGCTCAGCATTTTTTTATGGCCATGTATTTGTTGTTTTTTTTGCAAGTGGATGTATAAGCGGGTAGTAAAAAAGCACCCCAAGAATTTACAATCAAAGGTCCTTTGCATGCAATTGTCCTGATGTCCATGCAGGAAGGGTGAGAGAGAGAAATGTAATCACATGATAGCTTTTATGCTGTTAATGTAGCCCTGTCAAAGAAAAGAGGCTGAATACTTGTTGACTTACAGCAGCTTTCTACTAATATTCTTTTGCTCTTTCCTCACAAGGCATCAAAACTGAAGACAGTCTGAGCCATTCACCAGGACAGAGCGGATTCCTTAGCTATGGATCTAGCTTTAGCACCGCGGCCTCAGGACAGGCACCGTACACTTACCAGATGCACGGTCAGTGTGGGTCTATATTGGGAAGGTAGCTGCCGCATCAAGAAGCAATGGTTTGGTCATGTCATTCGTTGGCTATCAAGCTCAGACAAGCTGATCACTGGCATCAGTGATACAACTTCTTTCCTGGAAAATGTTATGGAAATAAGGTTGGGGAATGGTAGAAACATATGTAAGAGCATGCAGAAAGCTCTGCTGGATCAAACCAAAGTCCGTCCAGTCCATCTAGCACAGGACTCTCTTCATATATTGGCCAACTAACTGTCCGTGGGAAACCCACAAGCAAGACATGAGTGAAAGACCATACTCCCATGAGTGTTTCTCTGCTACTGGTGTACATATTGTCATGAGCCAAGGTTTCCTCTTTTGACCATTCAAAACCCACAGACCAATTTCCTTGCAAAGTGTTCTTTATTGACCCAAAATAAAAAGCACGAATCACCCAGAATGAATCTCTGAGCATGCACAGAATGGTTTGCTGAACCCAATCTAGTGTTCAGCTCCAGGAACTCTCCTTATGAGCATGCCTGGACCTCATCCCTCCTCGCCATGCACCAATGCCTCTTCATAGCTTCAAGGTTCAGGGCTGACTGGGCTGTGTCTGAGAAACTCCCATGTTCAGGGTCCCCTCCCGCCTGCTGTGTATCTTGAATATTCCCAGGAACTGCTCATACTCCCAGACTACCTCCCATTCTGCTCCACATGGCAATTCTCATTCTTCTGAAACCCAGCCAGCAGTCCATGAGTTTGCCCTTTAAAGCAATCCAGATTGGTAGCCATCATTCCATCCTGTAAAAGTGAATTCCATAGTTTGACTATGCACTGTGTAAAGAAGCAATACATATTATAAAATGTCATTTTGTAGTGATCCTTCACTAATGTTGTTAAAGTATATACCATTCCTCTTAATACTTTGCTTGTTGCTTTATATAACAAAGTAAATTTTCTTTCTTTTTTCCATGGGCAATTTTAATATAGTTTAACTGTTAAAACTTTCACAATCTCAGATCAGAGGGACATGTTACCGGAACAAATATGTGTTACTAGAATCATGTTTGCCAAAATAATATAAACATAGAGAGGTATTGTTGGACTTAGATCCCCTCTCTGCAAATGATCTTTCCACCTGCCTAGCTGGAGAACACATTATTTAAAGCAGTGGTGGGTGGAGGTGGAGAGGTTGGCACAGGGCAGTTGATAGACAGAGGGTTATGTCAACCTGACAATTCTCCCCTGAAAGTTTGCATCTCTCTCTCTCTCTCTCTCTCTCTCTCTCTCTCTCTCTCTCTCTCTCTCACACACACACACACACACACACACACCCCTCTTGTTTTTCCTCCTATCACCTTGACCTACCTTAAGCCTTGATTCTGGCACAACCCACTCTCAATTCTTGGATTTTCCAGATTCTTGAGAAATTGCACACCAGTACGTTTGTTTTCAAAATGCTTTCAGCTAATCTTTTATATAAACTTTCCCTGTGCGTTTTGGGTGAAAGACATCTCTTTTGTTTACTCAAATTGTTTTTTTTCATTCATGCATTTAATACTGATGCATGAAAATGCGATTCGGCAACTCAGTGCTACCTCTGTGCAGCTTATACTTCAGAAGTATTAAATAAGCTCTACATAAGCAAGGAAACTTCAGTGTCAATTTTGTATCTCCCATGGGATTGTAGGCTCTTGCTGAATGTTATTTCACTGATGCTTACAAAATGAGACTCCTCCATTTAAGCATAGAACACTGTCCAGAGACACACAGTTCCTTTTCTAATCAAACACAAGTTTTCTTTTGCTACTGAAGCAAAGAAAGGTTGTTCCCATCCACCACCACCCTCCCTTTTAACTAGCTCTTCATCTTTGGGGTTTATTTACCTTTCCAAAGTGCTGGTGAAAGCTCTGCATGGGATATGCAGAACGTTTCTTCCTTAGCTGCTACTGAGGAATGTGCTCTTAGAACTTTCCCACACTCTTTACACCTGGGAAGATGGGCTAGGGTTCTTTCTCCCCTCTCTAGCTTTTGAAAGCCATTTAATGGAAACCTGGGATTTCTCCCCTCACCCCCATGTGTGGCTTTACTGACATCTTGTATGGTCCAGTGCATGATCTTGGTTGGTTTTGCTGCCCACACAGCAAACATGTGACAGGCCAGAACAGCTGTGAAAGCAGTAGCAATGCCCTGTATCCATCTAATCAATTTGGGGTGTTCCTTAAACTTGACCCTGCAACCATTAATTACTTTGGGTGTTTTGGCCTTCCCTGCAGTGTGTAGTTTGGCATGGTTGCTTACAATTCTTGAACACATTTGTTCTTTTAGCATCTTTAACATGCTGCAGCTGCTTTAGGCTTGCGGTGGTGTGGACTTTCTGTAGACACTGTGACCTGTGTGCAGACAGTGGGCTGAGAAGTGCAACTTGATGCTCTTTTAATACCTTTCAGCTATGTGTTTTTTAATCTAAACTATAGGGCTGTATCCATTAGCAGTGAGCAACTGCATAATAGCCAAAGTGCTATTTTGCAAACTTCTAAGAGCTCAGCCAGTACTGTGAAGGAAATTATGCAAGCAAAAAAAGACTCTTTGGGCTGATTTCATTTATCTCACAGAATGCTTGAGTGTGTTATGTAAAAACAGACCATGCATAAGCAGGACTCATCAATGTAAACGGATGATTAAAGACGATGGCACAATGGAGGGCAAAAAGCTACATTACCTGTGCCTTGTTAGAGTGTTCCATCTTGTACGATCCTAAAAGTCTTTTAGCATTTCTGGTAGAGAAAGGAAGTGACAATGAAATCCATCCATCCACCTTTGTAAGCTACTGGCAAAACACATTGTAGAAATGTGAAAGAATATTATGGGGCTATAATGCTATTAAGCCTGCTGATGAAAGGTTCGGCTAATGCCGAGATGAGAACTACTTCAGTCCCATTGTCACGATGGATGTATATTGCCTCCAGTAGCCTATTATTATTATCACATAACATTTATGCTCCACCTTTTCTTCCTCTTGCATGGAGCTCAAAGCAGCCTACCAGGTCCTCACAATGACGACTCTGTGAGGTAGGTTAAGCTGGGCCCTTAACTGGCCCAGTCTAGCATTGAGCTCCATGTGTGAGGTGGAAGGAGGCTAGGACACAGAAGACCTCTCAGTAGCAAAACACAAATGGGAAGGTGCTCATGTGTCACCTGTTGGCTTCCCATGGTCATCTATTCCGTCACTGCAGGAACAGAATGCTGCACTAGACGGAGCCTTGGTTTGGCCCAGTGTTTTTATGTCTGTGCCTTAGCTTAACAAAGCTGTCATTCTAACACATGCTCAAGGGTGGACATTGCTAGTGAGTGCCTAGATGTTGACATGGGTGTGGAGCACAAAGAAGAGCATGGGTCCAGGAACATCTGTGCACATGCAAAAAAAAAAAAAAAAAAAAACCCACCACATGAGCTCCTGCAGCCTGTGCCTTACACATTACTTAAACTGGATACTCCCAAGTAAATCCACTTGTATTTGTTTAAGAATGTATCCCTGTACTTGCTGCGACATTAATGGCAATGACTGAATGTTTCACTGACACAGCTTTCGGTATTTTTTACATGTATTCCCTTGAGGTTCTTTCCTCTGAAACTTGCCTGTGTGTTTTAGTGGTATAATTTTCAACTCTTCCTTGAGAAATGTAAATTACACTGTGCATTATAAACAGAAGATTCATTTAGCATCGTGGAAAGAGCAGAAGACAGAGAAGACTGTATTTGGCAAACTGTCACTGCAATGCTTTAGCTTCATAAAACTAAAACCTCCATAGAAAATTAGTTGTCCCCTTTTCCTGGAGCTTCTCTCTCACAGCTGGTTTGTATTAGTTGCAGTCTAAGTCTGTAGCGGCAGAGTCCTGCTTCATACCACAACGAACCTGGGGTGAGAGAGGCCTTCTCTCAGGCCTTGCTTTTTAATAACACAAATAACAGTTCCTCCTAAATGGCTGGTCTGCTTTTCTCAAGATCAGAAAATATTACGCTCCCCACCCCAACCCTGCTAAATATACCCTGGTATACAACTCAGTGTGAAATGTTAATTGAGTAAGGGAGGTATGCAGGGAAGAAAACGAAGAGGCTGATCAATGACAGTCTCTGGTTGTCTAGCAGCAAAACCCCACTTACATATTGGATGCGTTTGTCACTGCAGTGACAGTTCTGTCCACACAGCCTTTGTTGCGGTTGGACATCACCCAAGAACATAGATACAAACATGTGGTTTGGACCTGCCATAGGCGCCTGGGGCTCCAGCCGTTGACTAAGAAAGACAAGTGCCAGTGCTAGGCCAAAACTAACAGCTTGTGTCTAAAATTTGCCTTAAGGTGTGAGCATGATTAATATCTACATCATCTATAAACACGCTGATTGAGCAATTATTTTGCTGTTAAATAGTATTCCATCTGAAAACTAAACTAAACTGAGCACAGGTTACCCTATTTCAAAATAGGGAAGATTGATTGAAATTAAAACTATTTCATCAGAATTTACCTTAGCAAGAAAAAAAAAATCAATTTAAACCATTGATTTAAGTCAAGTTTCCCACTGAAACATTTTATATATGTGCTGAGCGATGGTGCAATCACTATCCATGTTAATTTACAACTACATAGAGTATTGTTTACACTGTTTCATTCTTACAAGCAGGCTTTGCATCTCTGTCTCACTGTATATATTTTGCATGCTTCCCTTTTAACCAATAAAGGAATTGCTTTAAAATATTCCCACATAAGTTATGACCTATGACTAGACCCCTGGTTGCTTGAAGTTAACAGCACAATCCTATGCATGGCTACTCAGAAATGTCCTCTACCGAGGACCGTGCAGGTTACTCCCAGGTAAGCAGGCATGATGTAGAAATATGTACATTGGACAATGTTTTGTTCCTGGATTGCTCCTTTTCTGCTTCACCTTCTTGACTCAGTCTTATTTTCATCAAAACAAGCAAACAAAAATGAAATACCCATGACTGAGAGATC